AAAAAAAAAAAAAAAAAGCCTAAAACATGGGGCATTGGAGCCTGACATGTTGTTGTTATGTGCCATGGAGTCAGCCCTGACTCATAGTGACCCCTCCTTGGGTTGCTGAGGCAGTATCACTACAGAAGTAGATTGCTCAGCCTTCCTTCTGAGGAGTGGCTGGTGGGTTTGAACTTCCAGTCTTCTGGTTAGTGCCTTAGGCATTATGCTAGGGAGCCTGGCATAGGTGGTGAGAAAACTATTATCAGAGGCTAAAAGGAGAGTAATTTATGCTTAGCAGGGAGATAATGACCCTAATGAACTTATTGCCTTAGGCAAAGTGATAAGGAAACTGTGTCTTGGTTACTTCTGGCTGAATGTGATCAAGTTGTGCAAGTACTAAAAGATGAGCTAAATACAGAAAAACAAAACAAAACAAAACAAAAAAGCTATATCAGAAGCAAGAAGGGAAGAAATGAAAGAAATGTGTCCATACTGAAGACACTGGGATAGCTGATGACAGATACTGGCTGATATAAACTAGTCAAGCCATTGTGTCCACTTGGTTGGTCTCTTCCATGGTAGATGCTATTTGGTGGACGTTAACATTGTGGATTAATACAAAGAGCTTCACATTTCTTGCCAATTCTCATGCATCCATATTGTTGTTAGTCACCATTAAGTTGATTCCAACTCATGACAATCCCATGTGTGCTTCACAGGATTTTCTAGACCTTTTGGAAGCAGATGACCAAGTCTGTCTTCTGCAGTGCCTCTGGGTAGGCTCAAACTGGCATCCTTTTAGCTACTAGTCAAGGGCTTAACCATTTGGGCTACCAGGGAAGCCTCGTGTGTCCATATACAAATTTATAATCCTGAACACTTGCTCTTAATCTTCTAAACTTTCCATATCCAGGCTACTCACCAATCAGCTGAACTTTGTCACTGCCCATGAGTGCATCTATATTCTTGCCTCTGATACTTTTCCTTCCACAGAAAATGGGTGACTATGTGGTCAGTGTCTTTCAAGGCCACTTGCAAGTGAGAGTACAGTATACCTACTGTCCATTTTTTGGGTTATAACCAGTTACTGAGTCAAAACATCTGGACAACAAGCCTGAGCTTTTTCCTGTTGTGTCAATTGGTAATAATAAAACCCCATATATCTATAGCTGTGAGCTGAGTTGAGAGGGGAGCAAAGCTGCAAGAGTGAATAAAAACATACACAGTTCTGTACTTCCTGCTCATTATATTTTCTTCTGCCCTCTCTTCTTCCTTGTGTTTAATCCCAAATGAACAATTTCTATTCATCTAACCAAATAACTTAGCTATGTTATGACAGAACATAGCTTATACTGAAAAATTCTGAATACTTGGTCACTTTTTGTTCCAAAGTCAGGTTCTCCATTTCTACCAGGCCCAGCAGGCTGCCAGAGTTTTTTTTCCAAAGGGCTATAATTCTCCACTTGAGAGGGCATGGCCTTGCTATAGAACTCCAGAAGAATTGCACTGTCATTCTTCCAAAGAGGCTTGCTAAAAGCTCCACCTGACATCTTTTCTCATAACTTACATGTCTAATATTATAGGTTCTTCCTGTGTTTTATGATCCTAGGGGAAAAGTTGGTGACATTCCATCCTGGATATGCTACAGAGCCCTTTCTTACATTCTTCATCACTCAAGGGTGGGCCATATCCCCCCGTGCTTCTAGAAACCATCATAGTAGAAAGTTTACATGACCTTCTGGGATCCATGCTGTGGTAGTTAAGGTTATGTGTCAATTTTGTTGGGCCTTGTTTTGAGTGGCTGGGAAACTGGATGTAGTGTGATTCTTTGCATGGTGAGATTGGTAATCAATTCCATGGCGGGATCTACTGGAGCAGCTGAGTAGCTGCCTTAGGGATGTGGTCTGCTTCCAGTATATAAGGAAAAGCATTGAGAAAAGTCTCTAGTTTTTGGCACACTTGAACCCTGTATGTAGCTGAGTCTCCATTTAGCAGTCTGCCATGTTTCCTACTGATCTTGGGACTGTCTTTGGACTTGAACGAGTGGCTTGCCATGTTGTTTGGTAATACTGGGACTGTGCCCTTTTACTTATCGACCTTGGGTTTGTCAGCCTCAGCAGCCAGCAGCTACCTGAGTTAAGAAAAGCCTCCAGGTTCACTGGACCAAAAGCAAGAGGGAGAGCTGAAGCCCAAAGTCAAGGGGCATTCTCCCAGCCTCTAGAGCCTAGCACTTTAAACTCAGACTTGTAGCCTCCAAAACTGTAAAAGAATAAATCCCTATTTGTTTAAAACCACCCAATTGTGATATTTTCTGTTAGAGCAGCATTAAGTAACTAAAAAATGTGCCAGGGAGTTAAATTTTGTGTCTTGGAGGAGTGCTCCCAAAACAATAAATTTCCCTATCCAATCTTTTGATCAAACAATCTCAAAATCCAATACCACTTGTACTCCCTTTTTTTCCTGTCAGGAACTGCTGGCTAGGACCTACTGCTGCTTTGAGATATAGTGCCTTAACTGTTCAGCACATTCATGGCCCTATTATATTGTTCCTGTTCTGCTTACCTAGTGCTGCTTTGATGAGAAATATACCATAAATGGGATGGCCTTAAAAACAGGAGTTTATTCTTACAATTTGGAGGTTTTAAGTCCAAGTTCAAAGTGCCAGGCTCTAGGGGCTGGGTGAAAGTCCCTCAACCTTAGGGGTCCACCTCTACCTCCTGCTCTCGGACCACTGGAGCTAGAGGTATTTCTTTACTCAGACAGCTGCTGGTTGCTGAGGCTGAGAAGCCCCAAGGGTGACAAGTAAAAAGGCACAGTCCCGATGTTACCAATCCACACGGCAGGCCATTAACTTAAGTCTGTTGTAAGGTCGGCAGAGCATAGCAGGCTGCTGAGCAATGACACGGCTACATGCAGGGTCCAAGCATGCCAAAGGCTAGAGACCATTCTCAAAACTTCTCCTTATATACAGGAAGCAGACCACATACCCAAAGGCAGCTACTCAGCTGCTCAGGGTAAATTCTACCATGGGGTTGATTACCAGTCTCTTCGTGGGGAATACTGCCCAGCCACTCAACCAGGCCCAGCCAAGTTGACACACAAACATAACCACCACAGTTCCTTACCCCTAATTATCAGCCAGTGGTTGGGGTGGCCATGGGGTAGATCCTAATAAGAATTCAATTTGTGTTATGGCATCAGGTTCTGCTTATCTTCAAACAAGGGAAATGTACGTACTCCAGTCTTACTAGGAGAGGGATGATGAAAGGGTCTGGGACATGTATATAGGTTTGGAACTCTCAGAGACGTCTAATGATACAAAATTTTGAGGGACATATTTGCAACTGTTGCTATCTGAAGGGCTGCAGTACACTTTTTTCCCCCTAACTAAACCTTAATTCTGGCAAATATACCTATTATTTGAGAATTTAACCTTCTCTGACTTTTCCTGAACCTCACAATTAAGTCCTCAGCTTTTTCTAACCTTCTGTTTTGGAAGATAAGAAGTCTCGTAAATTAATAGGGTGGTCCTTTCAGCATTCATACTTGGATTTCAAATGCACACATTTCCTCCCTAGGTTTCAATGATGTTTAGCAATAGCTATCCAATCACATTGTCTTTATAGTTATTATTTCCTCTATACTTTTCAATTGAACGAGACACTGCATTCTCTTTCATTATTATACTATTCCTATTCCAATTCACCCAGTGAGTGTGCCATCAAATTCCACTACTGATGGAGTGCTCATTGCCAGCATGGAAATGGGTTATATAGTTATTAAACTGAATCTTAAAAACTATTTTCTCAGACCACTGTCAGGACCAGCTGTTAGAAGTCGAGTCCTCTAAAAGGTGGCATATACATGGGTCTTGATGTGCAGGCTATTTATTAAGTATCAGAACCTCTGGAAGTGAGGGTGAGAAAGCAAGGTAGGGCAGAGGGAGAAGTTAAACTCAGATGAAGTCCCAAATAGTTAGTCAACCCCCACAGTAGCTCTGGAATAGACTGCCAGAGTGGGCCTGATTGGACCAAAATAGGCAGACCTTCACAATCCAACCTTTATTAACGATTGTTTATATGCTTTCCTGGGTAAGCAGTATGCTTGAACAAAGTGTCTAGGTTCACGTTGAGAAATTATGAAGGAGCTGACAGTTGGAGACTATCTGATAATATCTAGTAGTATTTGCCTTATCGACTATACCTTATTTGTATTTCTTTTGCATTCTATTTTCCTTTACCGCATTTAGTGAACCTAGAAGTTTTCTGAGTTTGTGTTTATTGTATTTACAAACTATCTTTGTCTCTTGGTTGTAAGTTCCATGAACACAATGACCATGTGAATATGATCATCTTGCAGTTTAAATACATGGACACTCAGTATATAAACTTTTACTTATCCTTACTAACGTTAAAATTGTAAATTGATTTTAAGAAATCATGCAACAGTTAGGTAAATTCTTGTTAATTCCCATATCTCACATAGTAGGCTACTTTGAGAGTAGCCTTTTGTCCTGTAGTGTTTGTAACATGAAGTCCTTGAGTAGTGCAAATAGTTAATGTGCTTGGTTGCTAAAGAAATATTGGATGTTCGATAAACCTTAGAAGAAAGGCATGGTGACCTACATTTAAAGAAAAAAAATCATTGAAAACCCTATGGAACATGTGCCTACTCTGACACACATAAGGTAGCCATGAATGAGAATCTACTCCAAAGTAGCTCATATATTTGTAATATAAAAACAAGAAAAGTGCCTGTATATAATGTGATGCTAATGAACAAATAAATTGCATCTATATTTCACATTTTGGCTCATTTACGTTGTCCTAAATGTCCTTATTTAGATTGGAACTCAAAAATGTCAAGCTTCAAGAAATTCAATTATAGATCAAAGGATTTTTATTGACAAAAGGAATATGTCTCTCCTTAATGGATTTTACAAAATGTATTATTTAATTTAATTGCAAACTATGTATTTAACTGTGACAATTCTGTGACTGTGACAAATAATATTTTCAAATAAAAATAAGCATTGACATAGATCCTGAAAACACAGCACACAGAAAATAGCACTGATGGACGATTTAGGAGATCATACCTCTGCAGTTATGGTTGAATTTGGTTAAATCATGTAACCTAAAACTTGTTACATAAACAAGTTTCAAAAAGTTAAGAAGACAACATGAACCAGATTCCATATCATTTGGTACTAAGTAAATTCCCTAGTTACTAAAATCTAGACTGGAATCTATTGTCATGCTCCCTATCTTCATTCAGTCAGCCAATAAAATTACATTTGAACACATTTCATTAGAGAATTTTGATGTATTCAAGCTTAATTACTCTAAAAACACAAAATTATATTCAGTTATTATGAATAATCTCTAGTGGGGGAGCAAGAACATATGTGTGTTCTATTTGAGTTACTCTCAATAGCTGTTTGAAAAGAAAACAGAAATGACTTGATCAGGTGGCCTATGAATACTGTTATACTAGCAGTTTTCACTCCTGAGGAAGTACCTATATACTTGAGTGAATTTCACTCATAGATTTTTGCTTTATGTCATTAAAATTGCATTATAAAATTGCAGCATAAATGGAAATTAAGCAATGTATTACCTTGGCACTCCAATATCTACATAAATGATGATCTGTAAACATTGATTTTTGGCCAAGTAGCTAACTACTAAAAACAAAATCAAATATTGAGAATAAAAATAAAGTTCTATCTTGGATGAGCTCAAATGCTTCTACCAGAACTGACATTCTTTAATTCAAAAATTATTGAGCTTAGGATTCATGTTCTTCCATTTCTAGAGTTGTAAAATATGTATTATAATCTATATAGACTTTGAATTTAATCTAAAATAAACATATGAGAAAGAATAATACCTCTTCCAAATACTTCAGCACACTGATTATCGGTGGTTTGGCATTTTCCATTATAACAATATGCAGTTCCCAACTTGCATGTATGGCCATTCAATGCGTAAGTGTCAGGAACACAATCACCAGAAGTCCCATTGCAATACTCTGTAAAATCACACTCTTTATCAATACTCTCTCTACATGGAGTGCCTGCTATTGATAGCTAGGAAGAAAATAAAAAGAAAATTATGTTCCTTGAGTTACCATTCTTATCAATTATTTCCTGAATATTGATAACTGAGGGAACTATAGCATTCCCAAGCTGTGAGTTCTATTAAAACAACAAACAACAAAAAAATCAGGTATAGTATTAATTTTGAGATTTGGAGAAAATGTGCTTTCTCAAAGACAGGAAAGGATCCTCTATGAGTTTTCAGGCATTTCATTCAATCAGCATGTGATTGGGGTAATGCACAGAATAAATATATCTATTCTTTGAAACTGGGAAAACATAATCTCTACCTTTTTGTTCTTGGAGAAACCCAGGAGCCAGATGCCATACTTCAATCCCTAGCCCTGACTCTTAGTACCTTATTTGCATGGGTAAGGCACATAAATTCTCTGTCCTGCAATTTCCTTCTTTGTAAATTTTGAATAATCATAATTCTCTCATAGGGTTCTTAAGAGAATTAAGTGAATTAATGTAAAAGATACTCAGAATAATGCATTGTAAATACTGTATGTATTATCATCACGATCATAATTGTTATCATTATATTTATTATATGCAAACACAAATGCTTCTTTGAGTAGTTCCGTTGAATGTGACAGTTACTATGAAAATTTAAAGCAATAAAAAACAGAAGTTAGAAAACAATAAAATGATATAGAAAAATGTCATAGGAAAATTACTGCACTACTAAAGCTCTATACCGGGAAAATATTCCTTAATAATAAAAGTGACATTTCAGACATGAGTCAGATCTGATTCCATGGCAATGGGTTTGACTTTTTTTTTTAATATCTGGGAGATTTTATTATTATTATTAATGTCAGCAACATACACTGTAATACATTTTGAAGATTTTTTTCAAGCAAAAGGAAAATTACTACAATTGGAAACACAGAAAGAATGTAATGAGTATCAATGAAAAGGAGCATAGTGATATTTGGAGGGAGGAATCTAAAGAGTAAAACTATGAGAAAAATATACATCATGCACACTATAGCCAAAAACAAAACAAGATCAGGAATAGATATATTCATATCAGTTATATACAGTTGTTGTTGTTGTTGTTGTTTTGTGCCATGGAGTTGGACCTGACTCATAGCGACCCCTCCTTGGGTTTCCAAGGCAGTATCACTCTGGAAGTAGATTGCCCAACCTTCCTTCCAAAAGATGGCTGGTGAGTTTGAACCATCAGCCTTCTGGTTAGCAGTCAAATGCCTTAGGCACTATGCTACCAGAGCTCCCATTATATACAGTTGTGGGTATAAAATATAAAATATTTTACTTAATAACATTTAAATCTACTAGAAAAAAAAGCTATTATAAATTTTAAATCTACTAGAAAAAAAGCTATTATAAATTTGTGTAATATGAAATATATAGAGCCAAAATTTAAAGAAAAAAGGAATATGCACATCAGTTCATTGTGTAAAATTTGAAAAGTATTTCTCAATATTGCTCAATAACTGAAACAATAAGCACTATATATAATTCCTGTAAGTTATTTCTAGTCAATAAATGATAGCAAAGGTGATGGGATGTGTGTGAAATTGCATTTGTATGAGTATGTTACGTGAATTTATGATGCCTGTCTTGCAAGTGATTTTTCTCTACTTTGGCAATTTTGAAGAAGCAAGCCATCATGTTCTGAGCCTCCCTATGAATAGGACCTGATGGCAAGGAACTAAGGGTAACCTCCAGCTGACAGTTAGCAAGAAATTGAGGCTTTCAGTATGTATCCTGAAATGGACTGAATGCTGACAACAATCTTCTGAACAAGGAAATAGATCCTTCCCCAGTTGACCCTCAGATGTGACTACAGCTTAAGACATCATATTGTTCACAGACATGCAAATGACCCATGTAACTTATGTCTAGACTCTGGACCTACAGAAACTAGGAGGTAAAAAATGTATGTTATTTTAAGTTACTAAATGTGTTACGATTATTGAAAATATATCTCCCCCCACTTTTTTTAATTTTTATTGTGATTTGGGTGAAAGTTTACAGAACAAATTCATTTTCCATACAGCAGTTCACATACACTTTGTCTCATGACATTGACTGCAATTTCCCACAATGCAACAGCTATTTTCCCACTTCCTCACCATAGCCACCTCTTCCCTGTGTCCTTCCCTTCCATGCACTCCTGCCCCCCAAGCTCTCTCCCTATGCCTACACAGCACTTCTATACACCCATGATTGTTCTCTCTAAGGAGTATTTCTACGTAATGTAAATGTTTACCTCATATTCCTGTCTTTTGTTTGGCTGGAAGCCACAGGAGTGTGTTCAATTCCAGACCTGAAGAGCAGTGGTTTCCACCAGCAAACCTAGTCCCCACCCCCTTTTTTTAAAAATGATTTTGAATTTTGTTCCACATTGTTTTCCCTTCAATCCAGGGATCTCCTACATAGATGCCCCTCTGAGTGGCTGACAGTGGAAGCTAAGCACCATCTAGTTCTTCTGGTCTCATAGTCATATAGGCTGAGGATGGCATGGTTTATCATTCTCTTGGACAAATTGTTTCCATGCATCTTTAGTTTTATTCATTCTCTTTTGCTCTGCATGAGGAGAAACCCATCGTTGCATCTAGATGGCGACTTGCAAGTTTTTAAGATACAAGTTGCTACTTGCCAAAGTAGGATGTGGAACCATGTTTGCCATGAGCTTGATGTCCCCTGTGACCGTGGTCCTGAGCCCACAGGTCCAATTACTTGCTCCCTCCAGGGAGCTGGCTATGGACAAGAAGTGACTACAACCTTGTGTCTTGTCAGCTCTACTGTATATGTGGAAATTCTTAAAACATACAAATACATTTGTAGAAACACTGTCTGCCAACCCTATACATGGTCACAGGCAAACCCCCCTGCCACATAGATATATCTGATCATTCAGTCTGCCAACCCATCCATCTACCTGTATAGCAATGTTTGCCATCACTGACAATGCAGTACTGCATATGCAAAAGGGTTCATCTTCGTTGTCTGTATCTCCAATGCATCTCTCTATGTCTTCCTCTTCCTCAATGACACTGTGTTGATCACTCATGTTTGGTGTATTGCCCTTCCCTTCACCCAAATCAATACTTGTCTCTACCTATCTATCAGTGTTCCCTCCCCTCC